TTATTATACTTCAGATTTGCAAATGTTAGTTTTTGTTCAGGAAGCAGTTTCTGTTGGAATTAACCTTTTTGTAAATCCATCATTGGCAAAAGGTTTTCATGCCAAGAAATTTTTCTTAATACATTTTACACCATTATCACTGCTATAATTCCAGCCCTTGTTTTCAGTCCATTAAGTTTTTCATTAAGTTAAACTTGTCATTAAATGTCTTTGCTATTTTGGTCATAATTTTTACTGTGGTTAGTTTCGTAATAGCTTCTTAAGTCGTGTACATTTAGTACGATGTGCATTAATAGTTGTGTGCAGTCGTAGGCATGTAGGAATAGTTTTTTCTTCCACAGTAACATGCTCTTCTCATGAAATCCTTGGCTATGTTTGCCTCATTTTTTCATTTTTGATGGAGAGAAAAACAGTGCGATGTGATGATAACTGGCAAATCCCAGTCAATGTTAGGGAGACATTAGATAGTGGTGAGAATTATGATAAACCTGAAAACACCTGCCCAATGGCAGCAGTTTTTATGAATTTGGATTAGGTTTACCTGACAACTCAAGATAACATTGCTTAAATTAAATATAAATGCATTTCTTTTGATGAAAGTCCACAAAGGCAGCCCTCAGCTGATATGCTGTTTCCAAGATCATCAAGAAACTAGGCACTTTTATCATGGCTCCCACACCTTCTCATTAGCAGCTTCCTCCTTGTGATTCAACATGATTTCAAGATTCATCTATGTCACAGCTTGTATCAGTACTTCATTCCTTATTTATTGTCAAATAATATTCTATTGTATGGATATATAACATTATATCTATCTGCTCATTAGTTGATGGTCATCTGGATTATTTCCACTCTTTAATTATTATGAATAATGCTGCTATGAACATTCGCATACAAGTTTTTGTGTGGAAATGGCTCAATTCTTCTTGGTATCAACTATGTGCCAGTGTACAAAACAGGCCAAATCCTTTGCTGTGCTTGAATATTTAAATTGAGAATGAGGTTTTGAGCCAGGAGAGAGACATAATCTGACTTAGATTTTAATAATATCACTTTTGTGTCAGTGTGGAGATCGGTTGAAGAGGAAGCAAAGAATCCATTTAAGAGTGTTATAATCCAAGCAAGGGGTGACAGTGGCGGTTTCAAGGTGTTGGACATATATCAGAAAGGCATGGATGGGAGAAAAGTTGGAAGATATTTCACAATGTGCCTTTTTTATATGTAAGGCATGTGAATATATTACCTGTTCAAAAATAATAATTTGAAACAATTCTAGATGGATTATAGATCTAAATTTAATAAGGAAACCCCATAAATTTTAGAAAACCAAAAATTAGTATGACTTCAGAAAAAAAAAAGTTTCTAAAATAAGAACCAAAAAGCATAAAGCATAGGAAAAATATTGATACATTTCACTATTTTTGAAATAAATTTGGTAAAATTTAAAAACTAAGAATAACAAAAATTCCCATAAAATTAAAATATAAGCCCTGGATTGAGAAAAGAGGTTGTAAAACATAACTGACAAAATTAGCACAAAACAAGAAAATATAATTCTATGTAAAAATAAGCAAATGATATAAAAAGTGTACACATTGAGATCTGAGGCCACATTCTCTACCTGTGCACTAAATCCCACCCCTCTCACTTACTCAAAGACATCACTACAACAGTTGTCCTCTTTCCAGCACTAGCAGTTTTTCCTTCTCTGCTAAATTTTTCCAAAGTATACAAACGTGCTTTAAATGTCATCTATTTAAAAAATAATGACTCTTCCTGTCATTATTTCATTTCTTCACTCCTTTATATAACAAAAATCCATGATAGAATTATATAAACTCGTTTTCTCCAATTTCTCTCTTTCTACTTACTCTTGAAACTCACTCCGAACATTCAGGTTTTTCATTCCTTTCATTCTTCTAAATCTGCTCTTGTTGAGGTCAACCAATGGCTTCCATATTGCTAAATCAATGGTCACTTTCTTGTCCTCAGCTTATAGCATTTGACATAGGTGATCACTTCCTCCACCTTGAAGTACTTTCTTCCCTTACTATGATAAAAGTTTGGATTATTGTTCAGCAAATATTCTCACGCTTCCACTGGATAGACTATGTTTTCCTACCCCTGCCCTTCAATATTGTATTTGGGTGACATACTGTAGCCAATGGAATATTAGCCAACTTGGTGTGAGCAGAGGCCTTAAATGTGCTTCAGTGATGCAAGCAGAGGCCCCCAAAGCTTATAGGCTTTGGATTGGCTTTTGTACCCCATTTATCTACCATGGGATCTTCAGATGGCTGCTGCCTTTTAATTTTGGGCTCCAGCATGAACACACATGGAACAGATTTCAGCTCAGTCTGCAACCTAAAGCAGAGCTATTCAGCTGAGCACAGCCTAGGTCAGCTGAACTGCAACCAACCTGCTAACTTGTGGGTATAACAAGTATATAGCTATAAGCTACTGAGCTTTGGAGTTATTTGTAATACAGCATTACTGTTGCAATAGATGGCTAACCCATTTGCCTTCCAGGGTATGTCACTCTTCTCATTGTACTCCAACCTCAGTTCTGTTCCTTCACAGGCAGTTCTGTTTACCAGCCCCTCCTTATTTCCCTAACCACTTAGTACAGGAGTGTCCCAGGACTCAGTTCTTAAACCCCTAGTCTCACTTGTTGCTTCTAGCCATTTCTCATGTCTTAAATACCATCTGGAAGTGTACTACTCCCAAATTTATATCGACAACACTAGTTTCTTGAACTCTAGACTGGTATAACCAACTGCCTACTTGACATTCCCACTCAGATATACAAGAAATATCTCAAATTATAACAATTTCCCAAACAAATCTTGACTATTCCTCTCCCAACTTTCTTCCCTCACAGTCTTCCTCTTATTAGTGCATGGCAACTGTCTTTTTCCAATTGTTCAAGGCAAACACCCTGAAGAATTTCTCAACTCCTTTTTCCCCTTCTCACACCCCACATCAGATCCTTAAGAAATCCTGTTGATATTACCCTCAGAATATATTTTAAAAACCTGATTATAACTACCAACCTGGTCAAGGCACTTTTATCTCTCATTCGGATTTTTTAAGATCTTCCTAATCATCTCTTTGCTTCCGCCCTTTCACTTACCCACCCCCAACCTATTCTCAAAAAAGTTGCCAGGGTACTCCGTTTTAAAATTTCATTCAGATGATACCACTTCTCTAAAAATACTTCCCTTAACTCTTTGACCTCACTTATTACTACTGTTGTCCTCAATCACTCTAATTCAACCACTCGCCTCCTTTATGTTCTACGAACATGAACATCCCAGGCACACTCATGCTTGCTGTTGCCACTGTTAACCGGATAGGCACATAGATTTGCCAGCTCACCTCTTTAAAATTTTGGTTCAAATGCCTCTTTCCACTGAGGTCTTCTCTAACCACTTTAACATTGTAATTCCCCACCTCCAAAGCCCCATCCCCTTTCCTCCTTTATTTTTCTTTGTAGCACTTTGTAACATGAACACTGAGTATTTTATTTATTCATCTATCGTCTATCATCTCCAGGTAAAACGAATGTACACTCCACAAGAACAGAGGTGTTTTTTTTGTTTGTTTTGTTTTTGTCTGTTTTATTGTGTGTTGAATCTTCAGGACCCAGAACGTAGTAGCATTCAATAAATGTTTGTTAAATGAGTGACTATTTGACTTGCATATTTGAAATTTCATAAATAGAGATAGACTGTGACAGACTCAAAGACAAATATCATTAAGCAATGTTCTCTAATTCCCAAAAGATTTCCCAAATCTACTGAATGACCTGTTATAGTTATGAAAGCAAAGTTTATCTAAAAGGTAATAGAAACCCTTGAATTCTAGATTCTCTTAAATTTGAGCTTTCTTGTTTTTGTTTGTTTTGCTTTCCTTTCAATGGTTACCATGTGGGCTCTCAAAGTTTTACATTCAACTTTTAGAACCTGTTGTTCAGTGCAGTAGGACTAGGCAAACCCTGCATGTGAAGAAAATGTGCTCCTGGCCCACGAAGTGTGATCCCTATCCACTCTCCCCAGTAATCTTGATGCTTTTGTCATGAATCCATGCTTAAAACTCACAGCACAAGCCCACAGGCCACGTTTGTTAGGTGCTTGGATCTGACTGCAACCTCTGAGGTTATTTTTCAGGCTTCTGGAAGATAACTCAATTCTAGTTTGTGGTTTTGAATTTTAAATAGATAACTTCTTTGGGCTCCTATTTTGCCTTCCAGCTATTGATACCATGATTCCAAAACATAACAGTGGTTAAAAGAATCATAACCAGATACAGGGCAGGTAAGTTAAAAACTAACGGAGTACGCATACACACGCTTAAGGTGCATACACACGCATAAGGTTCATCCTCACCCCACTCCCCAATCCAAAAGTAGTACATGAGGAGAAAGTTTGCTAGTCTTTGTTCTCTGCAGCAGTTGCTGTTACTAACCAGGAAAGAATTTAACTTAGATGATATACAATTTGCTCTTCATTGCACCAAAAGCCCCCTCCACTTACCAACATTTGCAGCAATTCTCCAGTTTCTTAATAAACGGGATGGACCTAACTCAAATCGGGCTCCTCGCCCTGATTGAGTCTGGTATCCATTTTATGTAAGAATCAGCCCTCTAAATAGCCTTTTCAGGAGCAGGGACGCCCTTTTTTCTCTCTCTCTGCCGCAGGTCTCACCCTTCGCCAGGTCTGCCTCATTTCAGATATTTCTACAACTCATTCCTGAATCATGCCTGACGACAAATTTCGCAGAATTTGTTAAGCCAAGAGAGAACCTCAGGTGAGTTGACCTGATGGCATTTGTGCTCAGAAAGAAATGTACTAAGTTTATCAGCCAAACCTGATATCCGAAATTAGACAATAGTCCCCTGCCCAAGGCCCGGCTCTCAGTCTCGGGACTAGCGGCGTGGAGCCGGGCGGAGGCGGGGCGACCGAGGCGCGCCCCAACCAGCCGCTCCCTCCCCGGCCCGCGGCTGCTCCTCCCATCGGCCCCACGCGGGTACCTGGCGGCGGCCGCAGCAGCCGGCGGACTGGGGACGGCGCTGCGCGGCGTCACGCAGCTGAGTGGGAGAACCGGCAGGTGACATCCCGGCTGCCGCCTCCCATTTTCCAGCTTGGTCGGCGACAGGGGCAGCAAGGGCTGCTGTCAGGAGCTCTGCGCTCGCGCCGCCGTCCGCCCCCGCTGGCTGCTCTCGCGCGCGCCAGGCGCCTTGGCTCCGCTCTCCACGGGGTGAGTGCGGGGTGAGTGCGGGGCGCTGGGTCCGCAAACTGGAGCCAAACTTTTCCTGGGCGCGAGGAGAGATGGGGGGCGGGAGAGAGACCCCAAGAGCAGGTTGTCGGGAGCAGTCAGAGGGAGGAACTTGGGCTCGGCACACGGGGAGTAGGATCCGAGTGTGGGAGACTGGGGGAGCCTGGCCAGGCCTTTCTGCGGCTCGGATGGGGGTGGGGTGTTCGGAAGTTTCCGCACCACGGCCTGAGGTGCGGAGGGCAAAGGCCCTTACCCACTAGAGGGCGTGGCCGCCGAGTTCACCTGCGCCCTCCGTGCGAGCGTCCCCGCCGCCCCTAGAATCCTAAAGGGACGGTGGGCCCCGGCCACTCCAGGCTTTGTGTGACTCCCCCCTCTCCCCCGCCCCAAGCGCTTCCACGAGGCGCGGGCGCTGCTGTTCCGGCCGGATGGGCAGAGGCGTTCGCCGGTGGCACTGGGAGAGAGAAAGACCTGCTCGACCTTGGCCACGGAGGTCACTTTCCCAGCTCCGGATATGGCCTCGCTAGCAACCCCCTAGAATTCCCGAGCCCCTTTCTTCCTGCTTTCTTCCCTTCTGGGGCACTTTTTTGTCCTTGAGGCCGGAATGAAATTGAAGCGATGCTTTTGCAGCGGGGCGCTGCTTCTTTGGCTCCCGGAGCTGCATCCTGCCCTGGCGGCTGCTGGCCGAGGAAGTGAGTGATGAGTACAGAGCAGTGGAACAGGTCGTGCCAGACATGGAAATGGGAAAGCCTGTTGTTTCACCTTCCAAGGTAGTGTTCGTTACGGAATGGGCCTCTACCCAGATCAGTCAGCTCTGATTCAAACTTACCGGATGCGTAGACAGCGCTCTTTGGAGTTCCCTGGTGAGCTGGGACAGGAAGGGTCCGGTCTCTACCCGGTATAGCTCCCTTTGTGGTTGGGGAAACTAGTCCCACAGCGACTTAAGAAGAGTTTCGGTGAGCCACACCTCTTCCTTCTTGCTGAGATAGCCATCGGAAAGCGTTTTCACTTAACCTTGTACTCGCCCTTATATAAGTCTTTATTTCACTCACTTTTATTGTTTAACTGCTGTGAAAGTCATGGATGCTTTGTGGCTGCCCCCATCTTCTTACTTTTCACTTATTAATTCCCTTTGTAGTTTCTGCTCCTACCTCAGGCCAAAAATTGTTTCCCCCAAGGTCACTGAGGACTAAAAAAAAAAAGTCTTTTTCCTCCAATGGCAGGTATTTATCGAGTTCTTTACATGCAGGGAACTGTTCTAAGAACTCGAATTAACTTTTAATCCTCCCATTGATCCTGTGAGGTAAATGATATTATTATCCTTATTTTGGGGGTGAAAAACTGAGACACAGTAACTTGCCCAAGGGCACACAAGTAGCAGGAGGGGATTCCAACTCAGAGGCTGTGGTCCAGCGCTGGGGCTGTTAACCACTGTGCATATTGCCTCACCTACAGGTCCTTTCTTTGTCTTGATTTTCCTAAGTACTGTGTTGTGTCAAGCATCGCTCACCAGGCTCTCTTTCTCAGGTCCCTCTTTTCCTTCTTGAGTGGCTTTGTACTAGTTTAGGTTCTTCTTTTTAAGATTTCATAGAACTTTGTTACTTCAGTTATCACCTCTACTTATCCGGTTTGAGATCCTGTATTTTCCATGTGTCTTACTCAGTTTGAGAGTAGCATCTCTTACTCAGTACATATTGTAATATTCCATTTGGACTTGCCCTGCTTTGCCCCAAAGCATTTCTAGTTGACATCATTTCTATCAGGAGCCCCACCATTATCCTAGTCACCCAGACGCCAAACTCTTCAACCACGAAATCTCTTTTGTTGAACTTTTCTCTCGTCTCTTCCTTCTAGCCTTCAACAGTCTCACCTCCTCCCCATTCTCTCTTCACCAGTCTCGCTCCACCTCACCACCAAACATGCGTTTATTACTTAGCACATGTCATTTTCTATTGTTTTTATTGTCTTTTATAAATGCTTATGTCCACGAAAAGATTGTAAACAACTTAGGATATTACATCTTCAGGTCTTAAACTAGCAGTTGCTTGAAAAATGTTTGCAGAATATGATCAATTTGAATTAAGGTAGCATAGATCAGGTGGGTTTGATGATGGCAGAAAACTTTGAAATTTTTAAGCCAGGTTTTACAGGATGTTAAAGATTTTGCATTGGTAGACTTGGGGGAGCTGGCAGGCCTTGTAAAAGAGGAGGAGAAAAGCCTCTGCCAACTCCATTCTGGCTAAACATTGCACTCAGATGTGTAATGAAGTAGGACCATATCGGCAGAGAAGCATGAATCCTAACTTTATCTTAGCAAAACAAGATATGAAAGCACAGTGCTACAAAAAAACACCATTTTTATTGAAAAATATAACATACTTAAAAGTGTACAAAGCATAAATGAAGCGATTACCACAGTAGATATGTTTGGCGATATGACTGTCTTATTCTGGCAGTAGATATAGTAATTGGATGAGACAGCAGATAGGCCAAATAGAAATCTTTCTCCCAAAACGTCTGCATAAGATGTGAGCCTGGATTAATCCCAAGAGGCATTGTCAAGAAAGAATTGGCTTTGCTTGGGGAGGTTTGAAGTGAGGAGAAAAGACTGGAAGTAGGTACTAAAACAATGAGGTTAGGGAGCCAAGAAGAGAATTCTGACCCACTGAGAATAATTCTAATACAACGAATATTTTTGCCATTTTACCTTTGTCTCCCTTCTCTTTTTCTATGCATGTTTTCCTATATCGCTCCATATAGAATTTTAGTATTCTGTTTTCCATATACTATATTATAAGCATTTTTCATCTTATATAATTTCCAAAAGTCCTGTTGTTTATGTTATATTCCAGTAATTACAATATGATTTACTTATCAAATCCTCTATTTTTGGACAAGTATATTAGCAACAGATTATAAACAACCTAAGTTACAGTAATACTTATCTTTCCAGAGAGATATATCATTGAATAAATTGGAGTTTCTTTGTGATAGTGTTGCAGAAGTAGAATTACTTTGTCAATAAATATGGTAATTTTTATATTTCTTAATACAGATTTCTAAAAGAAATTTTAAAAACAGTGGATGTGATATGCCTACTTTTTTTCCTCTGAAGTAGCAGCAATTCACTTCAATAAGAACAGTATTATTAAACTACTTTTGCATGTTGGTACTGTGTCAGTTTCCTAGAGCTGCTGTAACAAAGCACCACAAACTATGTGGCTTAAAACAACAGAAATTTATTGTCTCACAGTTCTGGAAGACAGAAGTCTGAAATCAGGGTGTCAACAGTGTTGATTCCTTCTGAGAGCTTTGAAGGAGAATCTATCTGTTCCATGCCTTTCTCCTAGCTTCTGGTGACAGCGACTGTCATTGGCTTGTAGACATTATATTCCAATATCTGACTCCATCTTCACATAGTGTTCTCCTTGTGTGTCTGTCTGTCTTCACATGGCCATTTTCTTATAAGGACACCAGTCATATTAGATTAAGGTATGACCTCATCTTAACTAATTACATCTGTAAAGACCCAATTTCTAAATAATGTCACATTCTGAGGCCCTGGGGGTTGGGATGTCAGCATATTTTGGGGTGGGGGGAGGGTCACAATTCAGCCCATAACCAGACTGGTAGACATTGGGATGTACATAAAAGAAAGCCTCTGTTCTTAAGTAATTGATAGTTGAGTTGAAGAAAAGACTTTTCCTAATTTGTTTGTCTCTTCTCCTTCAAGTGCAAAAATCAGTTTAAAGATACAGAAGAATGCTGTTTACCAATTGTGGAGCATTCGTAAATGCAATAGCTTGTTGAATTGAGACATAATCTTGAATTTCAATAATACACATCATATAGCTTGGAAAGAAGGATGCCATAAACATATATTTAGAGAAGAATCTATCTTATATGTGTTTCTGTGACTCATCCAATTTGGACAAATTATAAAAAAGTTGAAAACTAATGCAAACTTGGCATTTATAAGATTGATCTAAAAAAATTGACACACAGGCCATGAACACCAGCAGCCCAGCTTCTTTGTCTCCTTTACAATAAGGTAATAGAGCCAAATCTACTCCAAATTAGGGGTTTTCAGAAACTGCATATTCAAAAAACATTTGAGTGTCAGCTTTGTGTCAGGCAGGATGCTAAAGCCAATCCAAGGCTGTGTGGGTGAGGGAGGCAAACAGTAACAGCACAGTGTGATGAACGATAATTAACAAAGACAGGGTGTTGGGAAAGCCAAGCAGAGTAAGGCAAACAAAGTTGTCCTGAGGTGAAAGAAGGCAGAGTGGAAGTTAGGGCAGCAGAGAAATGGGATGAGGGTGGAAAACCAGACTTAGGCCTAGAGAATGTCGGTATCATCAGAGATTTGGAAATACTGCAAAGTCATTGCAGAGGAGGGTGTGAGATGAGGTTGCCTAAGCATGCATGGGCCAGGATCCTGAGAGCCTTGTTTGACCTACTAAAGATTTCTGATTTTATCCTAAAGTTAGTGGAGAGCCATTGGAGGCCTCTAAGAAGGGAAGGGACCTGTTAAGATTTGTATTTTAAACACACCCCTCAGACATTTACAGCTTCACCTCTCTGAAACTTCTTCTGTTAGAGGTTCTGTCTCATTTCTCTCTCTGATCTGTCTCATAGGTCATTTCTCTCTCTGATCTGGAAAAGACAGCTACCTTCATTGTTTACCTTAGATATTTTGATTATGCTCAGTTTGCGTAGCAATTTTGGAATAGAAAATAAACTCCATGGGTGTCCTCTGTGCCACATGTTTATAGAATGCTTATGCCTGCACTTAAATTTTGAACCTTTTGTTGACAATCATGAGGTGAAAAGTTTTGGCATTTTTTAAATATCAGTAATAGTTCAGGAAGATAATTTACATGCATTTTCTCATGAATCCTCTGAAGCCAGCAAGGTGTGCACCATTATCCTCATAGTAGGCATGGGTACAGAAAAGAAGAAAGGTGCTCTGGTAAAGAAAGCGGAATGGGTACTC